CTCGTGTGCCTGTTGTGTATGTACTGGATGTGAGACCATTACCAGGAAGAACAAGTATTTTAAGTGACGGGTCAATTGTTGTTGAAGTTGGAGGGATTGAAATAGGTCAAGGTCTTTGGACTAAGGTGAAGCAAATGGCTGCATATGCTCTGAGTTTGATCCAATGTGATGGATCACAAGACCTCTTGGATAAAATACGTGTCATACAGTCTGATACATTGAGCTTGATTCAAGGAGGGTATACAGCTAATAGCACTACATCAGAGTCAAGTTGTGGAGCAGTTAGGCTTAGTTGCAATGTCTTGGTTGAGAGGTTAATGCCGCTCAAGGAAAAGTTGCAGAAGGAGACGGGTTCTGTCAAATGGGAGACACTTATTTCTCAGGTATACACTGGATGATTTTTCTTTTTCTGGGTTGAAAAAAGTCATCTCTATTTTTCATGTTTTGATGATAATGTAGACGTGCTTTTCAACAATCATGTCGTAACTACCATAAGCTTTCATAATAAAGACAATTTTTTCTTAAATTTTGCATAATTCCTTTTATTTTATTTTATTTTTGTGAAGGCCTTGGAATAAACCATAAAAGAGACTAGTTCTGGAATTTATGAAGATGATGCATACCACCTTTGCAAAGCATAAGAGGTCTCTACAATACATAGGAGTAGGAGTTGTATCATTATGTGCCAGTCAATTTGTGTATACATAAGATTCATGGCTTCTGCAAAATTGATAGAAAGCATATTTTTGTTTTCAAAACCTATAAAAACCACCAAGAACATTATCTGATATCTTGTAATCAACAATGTCTCCTTGTGAAGGCCCATACACAATCTATGAACTTATCAGCAACTTCATTTTATTACCCTGGCAATACTACCAACAGTTACCTGAACTATGGTGCTGCAATGAGTGAGGTAGGCTTATATCTTGTTCAATTTCTTATTCAGAAAGTGATATTCTCTAAAGCTCATGAATGGCTGTCATGGTCAAACGTATGAGTTTTTGGAAGAAGTCATTTTTTTGCATCAGATTATCAATAATGCTAAGCTAAAGGTCAAGGAATATTTTGCAGGTGGAAATAGATCTTCTAACAGGAGAAACATTTGTTCTGCAAACAGATATTATATATGATTGTGGAAAAAGTCTCAACCCTGCTGTAGATTTAGGACAGGTGAGCCAGCTAAGAATTCTATCCGCTATACTCTTTATTTCAAATTCTATAATTTTCATTTAAAGTAATGTACAAAAATCCATCAGTGAAGGATATAAAATCTATAATAAGCCACATCATTTAAATCAAGAAGTTAGCTTCTATTTTAAAAAGCTGAAATGCATCTTACTAAAATTTATTTACTTTTTCATGTCAAGCTAAAAGTACATTTATACTAATTCACTGACTACCTTCTCTCTCTCATATAGAATGAGGACTCAATAAGGAGTCAGATGTTAAAAATTCTTAATTATTAAAGTTTTATAATAAAAAATATTTTGGAATAAAACTGAAATTCTAGAGAGACAACTATTTTTAAAAATAAGTTCATCATTCTAAGAACTATACGAATAAGAAGATAATTATAAGCCTCCATGGGTTTTATCCTCGCACAGCCACTCAATATAATTAAGTGGGGATCAAAGATGAATGGATTTTTAAGTTGCCCAAATTGACCTAATAAGTTTTACTTGTTGCAGATTGAAGGAGCATTTGTGCAAGGGTTAGGGTTTTTCATGCTTGAAGAATATGAAACAAATCATGAAGGATTAGTGTTAGCAGATGGAACATGGAATTACAAAATCCCCACATTAGACACTATTCCGAAGCAGCTCAATGTTGAAATTGTCAATAGTGGACATCACAAAAATCGCGTTCTCTCCTCTAAGGGTATGACATTTTAATTCAAATTTTATTTGCCAGTAGTTGTTTCTACGTAGGAACGCTTGTAAAATAGTTTGATTTTTGATTAATTTGTAGTTGAAATGGGGTAAAATGCATCTCTTAACAAATTAGTACCCCTAAATTTGTTTCTTCACTTGGAATTTTTTTTGAAGTCGGTTGAACCATGTATGAACGAAAACATATCATGGTATTGGATTTATATGTCAACTTCTGCTTGAGAATTTGATTCTTTGGCACATGCATGCTAAAAAAGTAGAGAACAGATCTTCTGTAGTTGAAGTTTGTTAAGTTAAACTTCAATCGCCAGTATGATAAGTATAACATCAATTCTTTATGTTCAACTTCATCATCAGGTTCAATTCATAGATTCTCAACACCATAATTCCATAGAAGATATGAAATGCCAAATGAACAAACGCTTGATGGTGCATATTGTAAAGTTGCTTGGCCATGAGAGCCTCCTTTACAGTATATCTTTCAATAAGCAGCATGTGCCTTGTTCTTTTCTTTTTAAAAAAAAAATAAGGAAAAAAAATTTAGTATAAGTACATACAAAATGGTTTTCCCGCTTAACAGTCCTGATACTAAAAGGCTACTTCAAATCTTGTTTATGTAGCTTCTGGTGAGCCGCCACTACTTCTAGCAGCTTCAGTCCATTGCGCTGTCAAAGCAGCTGTCAAGGAGGCTAGAAAACAGCTTCATTCATGGAGCAACTCAGATGCAATTGATAAACCGTTCCACTTAGATGTGCCAGCAACCATGGCTGTGGTAAAGGAATTCTGTGGATTAGACATTGTGGAAAGATACTTGAAATGGAAAATGGGCAAAATTTGAAGGTTCTCAATGTCTTGGAAAATAAATTAGCGTGTATTTTATGTTTGCATGTTGAAGAAATATGTATTCGTTTTTTCAATGTTTTATGTGTACCTTATGTTTGAATAAGAGGAAATATGGCCTCATGCTCAAGACATTAACACTCAACTGCAGTCAGTGGGGATTTCTTTGTTTTTCTTAATAATAATAAAATGGTTTTGTCACTGTCATTAGATGTTCTCCAGATTCTGCCTACTTCATAATGAAAATTACATCAACCTTATGCTAATTGACTAATTAATAAGGGCCCACATACATATAGATTATTAGCTTTTGGGATAAGACTTACGGCATTTGTTTCTATGTTTCCATTCAAGTGGGTTATACGGCACTTTGAATGGTTATCTAGATCAGCAAAATGTGGCAGTATCGTGGGGGGGGGGGGGGGGGGAAGAAGGGGCAATCAGAGCAATAATTAAATCAGAGTCTTACGAGTCCAACATTGTGAAACATGATTAGGACTTGCAACCCCTCTATCTACTCATGGCCTATTGATTATGATGTTTTCATAGGCAATGCTCGGATCATGTGTGTGTGTTAAAAAACAATTCAAAGGTATAACATTTTAGAAGAGAAGGTTTCGTTCAAGATGAAGACGTTGTTATTTGCAACTATTCAGAATCTAAAGGGCAACGACAATTGTCACAGTAAAAAGCCCCGTACGCCATCCATCCATCTCACCGCGAATTACATAGTCCACATTCATGATAGACGCATAAATGAAAAATTGAAATCGTTTTAGAAAATGAAAAGTCTCCATAAATCTCCGATGAAAGAGAGAAGGGAAAGGCAAATAGAGGCAGCGAGAAAGAAGAAAACTCACTTTCAACAAGAGCAAGGGCTTTGGAATCCTTCGCCGTTCAGCGAGAGGGGTTGTCGACGGGTTCGGAATCGAGGGGCTTGGCATCCACGGGAGCGGGGGTGGAGAGAGGTTTGGAACCCTTCGCCGTTCGTAATCGGAATTCTAGCCGTCGCAAGTGAGAGCCAGAGCGAAAAATGGAGTGTGAATAACTGAATATCGTGCGAGAGGGCCAGGAAGAGCCCCGTAAAATGCCATTTCCTCCCCAAAGTCTCTCTTCCGTGCTGAGGACTACATCCTTTTTTGACCCGCCTTTTTTCCTTCCCTCTTTTATTTTCCCTTCTACTTTTCTCACCATGCAAACGCAGAGTACAAGTCATATCAAAGCTTCTTTGTAAGTATCAGTAAGAGGCCATTAATTTGATCCCTTCTGTAACTCATTAGCACCAGCACCAGCACCAACCCCTTTCCTTTTTAAAATAAATTACTAATACCTAATATAAAAATTGATTTGAAATTCAATTTAGTTCTAAATATAAAATTTTAATCTATTTTATTTATCATATTTATCTATTCTTTTAAAATAACCATTATAGTAGTTACACATATTGAATATTTTATCAAATGTTAGTTCTAACTCATATACATGCAAAGGTGGGAATACAGGTTTGGCTGGCCCTAGCCGACAGGTTTAAAAGCACCGGCCCTACGGGCCAAAATTTTAAAAATATCTCAATTTTGCTATATCAGCCCTTAAGCCGACAGTCTTAGGACCAAGCCGCAGGCTTTCCACCCGTTTAGGAAATTTTTTTTTTTATATTTCTCACATTTTTAATTAAAAAATAAAAACAAACCAATAAAATTATTAATAAAAGACATAAATATGAATAAAACTAAGTCACATACAAAATATCATCATATATAAATATCCATCAACATCTAATAATATCTAAAACATTCATCAACGACCTAAAAGTATGTTCTAGTCTTGGTGATTTCTTAGAACCCAACTCACCTAAACTTTATTTTCTACCCAGAAAAAAAACATTCATTAATGAGACAACAACATCCAAAAGTTCCATTGATAGTGCAAATATGCAATAGATAAATACTATTATTATTTTTTTTAAACTTTATCATCACTATAATCAATTGCTCTTCTTCATAAGTATGCAATTCTTTCGTAACAAAAATATCAAATTTTTCTTCTTTATAAGAATTTCATTTTTAAATTTTATAGTCTAACTATTATTTTACTTTAATTTGAAAAGTATTGCTGTTGAAATTCATAAATTTTTAGTTCAAATTATAGAATCACAAGTCATATAAGTATAAAAAAATTCTTTTATTAAATATATATAGTTTGAAAATATTAACACATATAATATAAATTAAATCATTATTAAAGTTCAAATTAACCTTTTTTTAAAACTTATCAGCAACTTCATTTGATAATCCTGACAGTGCAACTAGCACGTACCTCAATTATGGTGTCGCAGTAGGTGAGGTTGGCTCATTTTGTATCCAATTTCTTATTTAGAAAGTGATTTTCTTTTTTAAATTAAGCTAGTGGATGGCTACATTGCTTAAATGTATTTAAATTTTTGTGGAAGCTTGTTGTTACATCAAATTATCATTGATGTGGGAAACTAAAGGTTGAATATTATTTTACATGTGGAAGTAGATCTTCTCACAGGAGAAACCACTATTATGCAAGCAGATATTGTCTATGATTGCGTAAAGAGTCTCAACCCTGCTGTAGATTTGGGACAGGTGAGCGAGCTAAGATTTCAATATCACCTGACATTTAGGTTTCTTATTACTCCCTCCGTTTTTAGTTTATAAGATGCTTTTGGAGCAAATTAAAAAAAAACCAAATAATCTTGTTAAGCATGGTTAAAAATCTTAATTTTTTAAGAAGTATAAATTTTCAAAAATGCCCTTCATTTAACACTAACCCTCTAATTAACTCATGCTTGATTAATGGAGATTTTTGCAACGAGGTCATTAATGAATCATAATTTTTTTCCATAATTTAAGAAGTCAGTTAAAATTAGTTATTTCTTATAAAATATCAAAATTATCCTAAATGAAAATTATTAGCTAGAGGAGTTTGTTAATTAGTTAGGAAGTTTTATAATTACTAGCTAGGTGAAAAAATTAATGCTTTAGATGAAACATGGACTAAAGGGAGTATAAACATCTCTCTAAAAAACACCTTATAAATTGAAACACAGAAAATAATTTAATAGTTCTTTAAGTCTAGAAAGTTTACACAATGTTGAAAAGCTGGAAATTGAACAACTCATTTTGGGATTCATGTAACTACATGGAGTCCACATTGTTTTGAAATTAAGGAACTAAGATGAAAAGGCTTGGATAACCAAATAAAATAATGTGGCATAAGTTATTCTCATGTATAATAAGCAGAAGTTATTAGATTATGAAGTTGTCTAGTTTGACATAATATCTTTTGGTTGTTGCAGATTGAAGGAGCATTTGTGCAAGGGTTAGGGTTTTTCATGTTTGAAGAATAGGAAATAAATCATGAAGGATTAGTGTTAGTCGATGGAACATGGAATTACAAAATCCCCACATTAGACACCATAACTAAACAGTTCAATGTTGAAATTCTCAACAATGGACATCACATGTATCACGTTCTGTCTTCCAAAGATATGACTTATCAATTGTTAGAATTTTTAATTTGACATTTTCTTCCAAATTATTTGTTCCTTACCAGCACACATATGCTTTTTGTACCATCCTCTTTTAGTTGATTCATGAAGCCATTAGGTATGTTTGGCATGGCTTTTGCTTTACTAAAATTGACTTTTTAAACCTAAAAACCGATTTAAGTCTAAAAGTATATTTGCCATAGGTTTGGCGGCAAATGACTTTTTGCCTAAAAACCACTTTAAAGTTGAAGTAATTTTTTTTTTGGTTTTTTACTTTTCTTTTTTTATATTTGAACCTTTTGAAACTAGCTTTTCAATATATTATCCAAACAAATTTCCGTCAAGCTGACACTTTTATAATAGTCTATTAAAACATAAATTACATTACACTAATTAATTTTTACCTCGACTTTAATTTATAAAAGTCAATCGAGATAAAAGTCACTTTTGCAAACGTCCATTCAAACAAACCCTAATTTAATAAATCATGTGAAAGTTAATTGCAAAATGAATGAAACCAATATTAAAGCATTCGAAAGTTGAAATTCCTTTAAATTTCCATGCTTATATATGGTTCATCTTTTAGCATTGTCCTTTATGTTCTTAAGATGTTAACGTTGAGTAAATCAAATAATTGTTTCAACGAACCAAAATAGACTTGTAAAATAGTTTGTGTTTCACATATTCTCAACTTTCAAGTTGCATGTCATCTATTTGTTAAATGAATTAATTGTTGTTGAACACTTTTTTTTCAAATAAGAATTGTTGTCGAAAACTGATTCCAAAGAAGATATGAAATGTCAGGTGATCAAGCATATGATGGTGCACACGGTTAATTAAATCTCTTATTTCGGACCTGATTGCAATTATCCCTTTCTTTAATACTAAATTCTCAAAAAAGAATTCTTATACTAAAAGATACTTGAGAATTTGTTTCGATAGCTTCCGGTGAGCCACCACTACTTTTAGCAGCTGTGGTGCATTGCGCAACAAGAGCAGCAATCAAAGAAGCCAGAAGACAACTTGCTTCATGGAGCAACTCAGATGAACTTGACAAACCATTCCAATTGTATGTGCCAGCAACTATGCCAGTGGTAAAGGAACTCTGTGGATTGGACATTGTGGAAAGATACTTGAAATGGGAGATGGGCAAAATATGAAGGAGTTTAATATCTTGGAAATAGATTGATGTGTTTGTTTCTTGTTTGGATGCTCAAGAAATACGTACTAGTTTGTCAAAATGTTGTGTTTAATAGTTCTATCTTCTTATGAACTATATTTTCAAGATGATTTCATTTGTACCATAGGTCATATAGAAGCATTATGTGAGATGCATTTGGAAAACTTTTTTTTTTTTCAGTTGTTTCTTGTGTAGTAAATGAAATTTGAAATTTATGTGTATGTCGGCGTGGGCGTTACACTCAATGCAATTCATGTTAAACTTTCTTGGATTTTGATTTGATACAACTCAATCCTAGTTTTATAAAATATATAATTTAAAATATAAAAACTGAGTTACAACTAACTTAAAACTATACAAATTAAATTGTACTAAATTAAAATTTAACTAAGTCAAAAATATAGAAACTACAAGATTACTTTTCCAAGCAAAATAATAATATTATGAACAAAGCTGCTTCCAAGTTCAATTTGGGTCAAACAATGGCTAAGTTTAATCCAACAATATTAATTCTTGACAAACGGATAGCAAAAAAAAACAAAACAAAACAAAACTGCATGCACCCATGAACAGAAACACAAGAGGAACACACATAAATACTATATTTAGTCTTTAATATAAAAGTCAGATAATTAATTTACAAATATGAATAAAATCAATTAAAATGATTATTTGTAATAAATAGATGTTATCTTCTTTAAAATATCATTATTAATCATATTCATGAATACATATTGGAGATAAAGGTTTTATATTAAAAAATTGAATATCCAATTAACTTGTATATTAAGAAATAGAGCTGGTACATACATATTTTCACTTTTATATCTCAAATCATGAATATTTAGTACATCATGAAACAAACAACGAAGACATTTTTTTTCACAAGGGGTCAAAAAAGACTTTAGATCCTAGTAAGTCTTACTTTGTTGGCAATGCTTGTTTCGTCTTCTAACCATGAACTTCATTTAAAATTTATCCTCATACTACATCCAGTCCTTAATATAAGAACTAGCAGAGGTTTATATCTCCATAATTACCTCTTTTCAATTTTGGATTAATGACTCTTTGATAATTTTCAAATGCGGCGAAAACTAAATTGTAAGATGGTGATTTATTTCCATATTCATGCATTTACTTTTATTTTACTCTCTCGAAATAACTGATATAAAAACATAAGTAAAATTAGTTGATTGCCTTATTTAACCCATATTTTCAAAAGAGGAGCCATAATTATTTGTGAATTCTTTATCGTAGTTTTTAATTAATCTACCATATTACTCAACAATATTCAATTATTCATACCAAAAGTAGTATTAGAAAAAAGTTTTTTTTGGCTGAATATTAGGAATAAAATATTAACCAATTCATTAACTTTACACAAAGACTTATATATACATGAAAATGGTATGTTGTTTTTTTAGCAAAATTTAAGTCAAGTTGTTTATATTCATTAACTCAAGTTTATAAATAAATGTATAAGTGCAAATACACATGTTAACAACTAACAATATCAAGATTACATGTGTTCATTTTTCATAATAAATTTATAAGTACAAATACACATTTTAACAACTAACAATAACAAAATTATAAGTGTTCAAATGAAAATCTATAAATCCTAATTCACATGAGAAGAATTGATGTGAAAAAATTTATAAGTATTGATAGATAAATTTTACAGGTGTGCACACGTATTTTAACAATTAATATCCACCTTAGTTACTTATAATAAAGATTATTTTTAAGAATATTCCTTATGACAAGAAATATTTTGAAAATTTTAAGATTAGTTGAACAAGATAATAGAAGACATGGTATACGGTATACCTGTGTATTACTATTACAGTGATATAAAAACGGTTATGATATATTAACAAGATAATCACATATATGGTTTCGTTTATTGTCTGCCCTTTTTTTTGTATATTTTCACCAGCGTTTATTATGGCATTGACTTTGAATTTCCTCAACCATATCTCTCTTTAATTTCAATTAAGAAATTCAACAATTTAATAAATCCAACAAGAGCATCCTATTGCCAAATGAATGAATGATCTTTCTTTGTTTTTTCTTTTTTTGGTTTTTTCAAATACAATAAGCTATGGCTTGAAACCATGCAGAGATTAAAGATCAAAGTGCCAATGCATGGGATTCATTATAAGACTTGATTGACTAATTTGAAAATATAAAAAAAAATTAAATAAATTATTTAATTATAGCATGTATTATCTGGTCTCACTAAAATACTTGTGTATCATTAGATTATACATAAATTTATAAGTGATGTAAATTAGTTTGGAAAAAAATAAATGACAAATATAAATACTTTACTTATAAATTTATATATAATTTGATGATACAACACTTTAGAGTTTTTTTAAAGTGTGTCCACCATAAAAATATTAAAAAATTACTTAAGAATGATTGATACATGTTCATTTAATGGACTTTTGAGGATTTAATGGGTATGTTAAAATTGTCCCGGAAAAATAATTTAAAGACACAATTGCTCCTTAAAAAAATAAATACTTTAAGAAAAAATTATACCACAAAACACTACTACAGAGTGAGGAATACTTGACGCTAAATATTTGACGGCTATTACAACAAACCGTCAAATATAGTATCTTAGGGAGAAAATTTGATGGTTTTAATAGGAATAGTCAAGTTTCATGGGAAAATACTTGACGGTTTTTAAAAAACTGCCAAATATTCTCCAACAATACTTGATGATTATGTTATAACCATCAAATATCTTTGAGGTAAACTTGACGGTTTCTCCATAAACCGCCAAGTTTTATAATACTTGACGGTTTTTGACTAAAACCGTCAAATATTATTGTAAGATACTTGACGGTTATTAATAGAAACCGTCAAGTATTATCTTTTAAAACCCCTTTCCCCGTTCATTTTGCTTTGCCCAGTTCAAAATTTCTAGCGCCCCCTTTTGCTTCGAACTCTTTAAGCCACCATACCCACCTCATTTCAGCCCTTCCCTTTTGTTTTTATCGATCGTTCTCCATCATCGTCCCTCTCTGTGTCCTCTTTCATCACTGAGGCGTCCTCCTGCATCGTCGTTGTCGCGCATTGTTCTCCAGATTTGACAGCTTCAGGTTGTTCCTCCTTCGTCACTCGCTCCCCTTATTTCCTTTAGTGCTTTATTCGAAATAATTGTAGTTGAAAGAGGATGATAGGATGATGTTAGGACCGTTCACAATGCGCATACGGAAAATGGATTTTTCTGTTCAGCCGAATGGGTCTTTCACATTTTGATCAGTTTTTGGGTTTAGGGTATTTTCAATTTTTGTTTTCGTCATAAATTTTTTGGTAAATAATCAAAATTGCTAATGTTTCAATTTTTTTCTGTAATTGAAATTGACTGACTGCTGGTTTTCTGTTTAATTAATACTTCATTTGAAGTTAAATAGAAGGCATAAAGCCTGGGGAATGCTAAGTTATAAGCTGTATGCTGTTAAATTTTTTTCAAATGGAATAGCACATCAGTAGTAGTAGAATATTTTTCAAATTGAAGTGAAAGTGAATTTTTGTTGAATTACTAGTTGCTAACAACTAGAATTCTAGTTGTTAGACAAGTAGAATTAAAGAGGGATAAATGTGATCAATAATGTCTCATGTGTTGACTTTCTATTTTTGTTTAATTCTCACAATATCTTTGAGTCGCTGATTACATTTTCCTCTAAATGATTCATCTTAGTCGGGGACCATGGGCAAGGAATGGATGTCCGCCAATCGTCTATCAAAATAATATTGGGATAGGGTAGAAGATTTTATTAAGTTTGCGATTGAGCACGCCGATGATTGCAACAGGATTATTTGCCCCTGTCTTAAGTGTTGCCTTTTGAAGTGGGTTTCGCCATCCAATTGTGAGAGCCACTTAATTATCAATGGAATTGATCAAAGTTACAAGTGTTGGACAAACCACGGAGAGACAAGATATGTGAGTAATAGTAGTCGAGGGCATAGTGAAAGCTGTGGATCATCTAATCTTGACATGAGTACATGTGAAGCTGATCGTCTTGAGGAGATGACAAATGCGATTGAACGAGAACTTGATGATTGTCCTGAAATGTTTGACAGATTAAAGTGTGATGTTGAGACACCTCTATATGAAGGTTGTACTAATTTCACCAAATTGTCTGTAGTGTTGAAACTGTATAATTTGAAAACAAGAAATGGGTGGAGCGACACAAGCTTCATAGAACTGCTGTTGCTTGTTAAACAAATGTTACCAAAAGAAAATGAGCTTCCAAGTAAAACGTATGATGCAAAGCAAGTGTTGTGCTTTGTCAACCTCAGCTATGAGAAGATACATGCTTGTCCCAACAATTGCATTTTGTTTAGGAAGGAGTATAAGTCACTAACTGAGTGTCCTAAGTGTAATGCATCGCGCTACCAAGAGAATGGGAAGAGCTCGAAGAAGGCATTTTGGTATTTTTCCATTGTACCAAGATTCAGACGTTTGTATAGTAATGTAAAAGATGCGAGAAATTTAAGGTGGCATGCGGATGAAAGGGTTAAAGATGGCATGCTTCGCCATCCTGCTGATTCTCCAGAATAGAAGTTTGATATTGAGTATCCTGAATTCGGGGAAGAAGATAGAAATCTACGCCTTGTATTAGCCACTGACGGGATGAACCCGTATGGGATGCAAAGCAGCACCCATAGCACATGGCCAGTGATTTTGTTTATATATAACCTTCCTCCATGGCTATGCATGAAACGCAAGTATTCAATGATGTCTATGATAATCTCTGGGCCAAAGCAACTAGGAAATGACATAGATATATATATCTAGCTCCATTAATTGAAGACTTGAAAGTATTGTGGGAGAATAGAGTTGATGTATATGATGCATATAAGGAAGAAACATTCAAGTTGAGAGCTATGTTATTTGGCACAATTAACGACTTTCGTACGTATGGTAATCTCTCAGGGTATAGCATTAAAGGGCAACTTGGTTGTCCCATTTGTGAAAAGAACACAGATTCCATAAGGTTGAAGCATGGAATGAAAAATTCATATATGGGACATCATAGATGGTTGCATTGTGATCATCCTTACTGGCAATTCAAAAAATATTTCAATGGGAATTCAGAAGAAGGTAAGGCACCTACACCGTTAATTGGGGAGGATGT